AGGGGAGAGAAAATAAGAGAAAGGAGGCAGCAGAAATGGGGGAGGGGGAAGGAAGGCAGGGCTAGGCAGTGCCAGCCTAACTCAGAGAGCTCCCTGCTGACAACTCCATCCCAAGTCCGGAAATAGAAAGTTTTCCTATGAAGAATAAGAGCAGATACTGACAAAGGCAGAAAAGAAACATTAAGTTATTCCACTCTAAGGACCATCTGTCACCAAGCCCACTCCGCGGTAAGACTGTTAAGACCCCAAGGTTCAGGGAACGTAGATAGTGAGAAGGGAAGTCTGAAACCCAGGCATCCCAGGTCTCCAGCAGGGACCCTTCTCTGGACCCTCCTCACCTGGTCATCAGTGAGGCTCGAGGTCCTAGTGTTATGAACCCACCCCAATTTTAGCAGCTGAAGAAAGCTATTCTGACAGATTTCTAGGTCTGGCTCAACTCCAAGGACAGGCTAAAAAATGGTTTCTCCAAAATCCCAGCTCAAAACCCCAATCCCTAACTACTAAACTCCACATACTTTCCAGGAACTGGAAGCTGCAAAATGGAATTGTTAGATGCATTTGTAGATTTATTCCTCACTAAAGGGATACATATATGTTGTTTAAAAGCCTCCTTTAACTGACGTGTCAATAAATACTCTGCACTCAGAAGCACTGATGTACTTCCTCCAAGTAATTTTCCCCCTAAGGAACAATACAAAAACCATCCCAGTCTCTCCTGAGGCTGAGGGGAATGACACAATGGCCATTAGAACCAGAACTAGCCAGACCATTTGAGCAAGAGAGTCGGATGGCAGGGAGTGGTTCATCAACAGAACTCTATGTAGCAGAACTCCCCAACTCCACTCCCCAGGCCACCACAGCAGACACAAACATCTCCCAATGACCTCAAGCTCACAGACTGCCCAGGTCACAGAGAAAGGTTTCCCTATCTTATGTTTTTTGATGACTGCTAAATGTTCAACAAGTAGCTTCTGAATTAAGAAGCACAAATGAGATCTCACAAATGAGATCACACAGGCACTTGAAGCCCTCAAACCTCATTGCTGGGAAGGAGTCCCTCCTCCTGTGTGTGGGCCCAGTGCAAGCCCTTGGCAGGTCTTGCCTGGAATCCCACAACCCTCCATCAGACCATCACCAGCCTCCTCCAACTATCTTACTGCAGGCTGGCACTGACTCTCAACACACCAAATCTTGTGACATCTCGGCTGCCCATACCACCCCATCGGTCATGCCACAGAGGGCAGCTTCAGGGTCACCCTAAGACAGAAATGTTGACAGAAACTGTCCACTCCACCCCGTTCTTAAGCAATTGCTATTCCCTTCTCCTTGTTCACACTCTATTATTCTCAGCATTCACAGCCCTTAGGAATAAATACCCCACCATTACCATGACTCTTATTTTGTCACACCCTCTCCAAAACCTATTTGTGTTTACACCATTTCGTGTATTTCAGAGGAAGCAGCTGGGACAAGAGACAATGACTGTGGCAGGCAGGATGGCTGCAGAGAGTAGGGTTCTGTCCCTACATCTCTTCCCCTGCAAGGGTGGAAGCAGGTCATGGAGCCTTCGGGAAGTGGGGGAAACCACCACCCACAGCCAACAGGTTTTTCTCACAATATCAGGTGGCCCGGTTCCTGAAAAGCTGGCTGCTGAGATGAAAGCAGCCCCAGGAAAAGGAGGCAGACCAAACAGGATCACCCGTGCTGGATAGGTTTGTGGGAGCCAGCCCTCACAAAAGGCAGGGTATGGCCAAGCAGAGAGGGGCAAAGAGAAAAGTAGGAACCTCACTCATGGAGAAGAAACAAGGTAGACTGGATACAGGGATCCAAAGGCCTGAGACAGAAGGAGGAAGCTGATGAAGCTCCCATGGGCAGAATATCCAGGAGCTCCCACCAGTAAGGCCCCCAGAGTCCAGGTAGGGGGAGATCACCCATAGTGCCTTCCTGGATCCAGCTCAGACAAATGAGACAGTGGGGGAGGGAGAGCGCCACAAAGTTGTCAGACAGGTTTGCCCAGGACAGAGAGAGCTGGAAACACAAGACACAGCAAAAGGGGTTCAGTTTTAGGGGCTAAGGAAAGAGGTAAAGTAGCTGTGATCTGACAGCCAACAGATCTGGCAATGAGGAGCCAGCGAGAACGCTGTCTGGAAGGCATAAAGTCCACAAGCTACAGGGAAAGGAGGACCCAGATCCATACTATTTCCTGAGTGCAGAGGGAAGTCCAGCAGGCTGACAGCAAGGAACCGACAGATGCTGAACAGGACCAAGGTTTCTGGAAACACACATAAGGAGGGATATCCACAAGGAAAGATACCACTCCTGAGGAAGAAGTGTGAGTGGATATGAGTTTAGGCCACTGCAAGAACCATGGACAAGATGCTGCCGGCCACGGGACACTAAGAAAGAGTCTGTTCTAGACCAAACTTCAGTCAAGTCCTCCGAGCTCTCTACTTGCCTAGACCTGACCTTGGGCTCCTGTCTCCATTCCAGCAGAAACCAGTTTTAGTAAGAATCCCTCAGCCAGGCTTGGTGGCTCAGCCTGTAATCCCACGCCTCGGGAGGCTGAAGTGAGTGGATTGCCTGAGCCTGCGGGTTCGAGACCCGCCCGGGCAACTTTGCAAGACCTCATCTCTACAATAAATAAAAAAATCAGCCGGGCATGGTAGCGCACACCTGTAATTCCGGCTACTTGGAAGGCTGAGGCGGAAGGATTGCCGGAGCCCAGCAGGTTGAGGCTGCGGTGGCCGGGAGCAGCCACTGCATTCCAGTCTGGGCAACAGAGTGAGATTCCAACTCAAAAAAAAAAAAAAAAAAAAAAATCCCTCCCTATTAATATCTGATCACATGCTGCCCATCAAAAGAGGACTGGATAAAAAAAAAAAAAAATGTGTGAGTGGATTGCCTGAGCCCATGGGTTCGAGACCCGCCTGGGCAACTTGGGGAAACCTCATCTCTACAGTAAATCAAAAAATTAGCCGGGCGTGGTAGCGCGCGCCTGTAGTTCCAGCTACTTGGAAGGCTGAGGCAGAAGGATCGCCAGAGCCCAGCAGGTGGAGGCTGCAGTAGCCGGGAGTGGCCACTGCACTCCAGTCTGGGCGACAGAGTGAGACTCCAACTCACAAAAAGAAAATGTGGTACATATACACAATGGAATATTACATAGCCATAAAGAAGAACAAAATCATGAACTTTGCAGCAACCTGGATGGAATTAGAGTTTATAATTATAATGAGTGATCTTTCACAGAAACAAAGATCTGAGTATTACATGTTCTCACTCATAAGTGGCCCTTGAACAACTACCGTAATACTATTACAAAAGGATTGACAGTAGCGGGAAACTGTGGGGGAGGGAGGTAGGATTGACAGTAGTTGAGATATGAGGGGGAGCACACCTCATCAACAAGGGTACCTGTACAATGAATATTTGTATACCTAACCCTGAACTGTACCCCACAATTAAAAAAATAAAATATATTTTTTTAAAAATCTGATCACCCTGGATATCTGATCAAATTCCTCATCTTCCACCATCCCCCAGAAAAAAAATCACCCTGGCTTGCCCTAAGAAAGAATCAGTTCAATTTAGCAAAAAAGTTCTCTGTCCTCTTAGAAATTGTCCAGGATCTCTGCACTCTGCTCCTAAGCTTTAAGTTCCCACTTTTCTTTATTTGGAGTTGAGTCCACTTTTCTTTATTTGGAGTATTTGGAGTTGAGTTCACTCTCTCCTTCCTATGGCAAAACGCCACTACACCTGTTACAAAAGTCCTGAATAAAGTTTGCCTACTGGTTTAGCAAGTGCTGGAATATTTTTTTCTTTACCATGCAGATCTCCCCAAGTCTTCCTGGACCCATCACTATCCACCCCTAACCCAGAGTGTGTAAACCCACTTCGTCTAGGGCTATGGTTGGTCTCCCCCACCAAGCCCCAGAGAAAGCCTGTCTTCATGGCCCAGAGATGCAGGGTTATAAGAAGATAGCTAATCAGCAAGCAAGTCAGGCACAGGAAGGTCATCTAGAGAGGCAGGGTTTCTTCGTGCCAATGGTCATTCAGTGGGCAACTACAGACTCTCCTACAGACAGCAGTGGGAGGGCAAGGAAGGAGCAGGGCCTTGAGCATAGCTCAGTGAGTACCTGGAATTGGGGATAGATACATTCTTGCTGCTGAGAGTCCCACCATGGCCTGAACTGTTGTAGAGGTTTTATGGAACCCAGCTGCTCCTTCCTGGAAGGCCCAAATCTAAAGCTGGACCTTGGTCCTTATTTCCACTTGTCACATTCCGATATGCCCAGGTTCCCTGAGGTGCCCCAGTGGGCTTCTAAAGATTTTAGCACAAAAACTCAGCCCTGGGACTATGTGTCCTAGGATATGCTGCTACCCTTAGCCCTCATGGGATCACCATTCAGACCTCAGGGTATAAATTGAGACTCATGGAACACTCCTTTCCTCCCAGCTACTGTGGGTTATTTCTCCTGGATGTTAGAGATACAAATTCCTCAAATTCTCTTTTTTATTAATGCTCTCAGGGCCCTGCAACGTACATGAATACAGGCCCTAACAGCTGGCACACATAGGAAAAACTCAGAGAGGAGGTTCACCAGCTCCCTTGTCCTGGCACTTCCCCAAACCTTATCCACATAGTACAGCCCACCATCAGCTCTCCCAAATGCCAGGGAACACACAGAGACTGAGGCGGCACCAGGAGCTCACCTCTTTTTTTTTTTTTTAAGTCAGAGTCTCACTTTGTTGCCCAGTTTGGAGTGCACTGGCACGCCCATGGCCACCACAGCCTTGACCTGCTGGCCTCAGCCTTCCAAGCAGCTGAAACTACAGGCATGCGCCACCACGCTCTGCTAATTTTTTTGATTTACTGTAGGGACAAGGTCTTGCCGTGTTGCCCAGGCTGATCTTGAACCCATGGGCTCAAGCAATCCTCTTGCCTCAGCCCCCTAAAATGCTGGGATTACAGGAGTGAGCCACCGTGCCCTACAGGAGCTCACCTCTTACCAGGATCCCAGAAGCCACTTTAGAGACAACTGTCATGGCCCTCAGTCACCCATACAGGCTGATACAACCAAGGAAGGAGCAGCCAGTCCCTCCAGCTATCCAGTTGATGGACATAGGCTCTAGTCTAGGCCTCCTCTCTGGCTGCTCAGCTAGGGAGGCAGAACAGACACAGGTGAAGAGTGTCAACTCCAGCCCACCCAGGCCCACTTAAGATCTGATCACCAGGCCTGCTGCTGCCTCCTAAAAGAAAACAGCCCCACCCAACCTCACCAGGCCCAAGAGTGGAGCAAGTGGGGCCCAGAATCAGCTGCTGGTGAGCACTTTGCTGAGAGCTGCCAGAGAGATGGCAGCTGTCTTAAAGCCGAGTATCAAGCCTAACTCAGGGCCTCTGGATCCTGCTTCTCAAACCTGAAGTGTGTACTCATGTACTTCACAGCATCCCTATGATACAGGAAGGGCAACTTGATTCTTCTCACTTTACAGATGAGAAAATGAAAAAGCACTTTTTTGTTCCAGGAGGAAAAATAAAAAGCAAAGACTTGTCTGGGTCACTCAACTAAAAAGTCAACACAACTTGAAAGCTGGCCTCACCACTGTCCACTCTGCAAGCTGGGTAGTGTTATTCATCTTCACATTTAATCAGCACAGGCACTGGACACCGCGCATCTGCCAGAGCCTATGCTAGACCAACACAGCCACTTGTACTGCCTGAATCAAAAACACACACAGTTAAGGGAGAAATGGATGTGGAGACATTACAAATATCCTCCCCAATACATTCAGAGAGGGCACTGCCACAACGGCAGATAAGCAAACAAACGCTGGCATTTACCTAGACCAGAGATTTTCAAAACAGCAGTATACACAGCTCCCTGGGGACTCTGATGACTAGCCAAGAGTGGGACCACTATTAGAAACCACCACCACCTCTCGTTCCACAGGTAAGAAACTGAAAAAGGAGGAGATATGCCTAAGGATACTAAGTTAATCATAAAGCAGAATAACTTTGTCTTACCACCTCCATCCACCAGTATCTACTGGGGGCGGAGGGGGGGGAGTCACCAGAGACCAAGCAGGTGATCAAGCACAAAAACAAGAGCCACAGTGTGGCTGGCTCTTTAAAACCCTGTTAAGGTGGCCTAAGGGAGAAACTGTGGATTAACAGAGGGTTTCTACTCCCTTCTATGGGCCAAAGAACCATCCCAGTCACAAGATCAATCCTGTTCCCAGTGAGAGTCCATCCTTCAGTCATCTCACCACCACTCCTTTCCAGAACCCAAGGTCTACAAGTTCAGTCCCTGAGTCCCACAAAGGGAAGGGGGATGATAAGGGAAGGGGGATGATAACCCATGCTAGGGTTACCATGACCTGCTCCTGCTTCTAGGAAAGGTGGCTGCCCCTATTACCCACATTCAAGTAGGGTATGGGACATGAAACATGTCCATGGGCTGACAAGCCAGGGCAGTCAGGGGAAGCAGGAGACTGCTTCTCTTCCTATGGGCATTACTATCTCTTTTTAAAGCCCACCAGGACCCAATGGTAGGAAGCTGGGATCATCACCTCTGTTCACAGCCCCTAGAATGGGGTTTGAATCTGCACATGTACTTAATAAGAATCCCTGACCAGGAACTCCCCACTAGTCCTTGGGCCCACTAATGAACAAATGAACAAATGAATGAGCAAAAGAAGACTCAATGAACTCATACAACTTGCTCAGGGTTAAAGGACAAAGGTTGCCTTTGCAGATCACCTCTTAATATGCTAACAAGCATTTTGTTTACCACACCACTGCCCTTCAAACATGGCACCTCAATCCATCTTTAACCTAAATATGTTCTTTGACTAATTCATGATAGATGTTCCTGGTGACACAGAAACATATGATGACATTAGGACCAGAACTTGGGAGGAATTCAGAAGAAGGCGCAGTAGTAGACAGGTGTTAGGTATTAGTGCTATTCACCAAATGATTCTGATCCTCTTCCCCATACCTTGTTGGTATGGCCATGTAACTTGCTTCAGCCAATGAAATGCCACTTCCAGGTGGAAGCTGTAAGAGCCAAGGTAAGATTCATCATGTTCTCTGTCTCTCTGCCCAAGTGGCCAGGGATGTACCAGTTCATCAGTACGGGTCCCACAGTGAGGACAACATAAAGCAGATATGTGATGGATATGTAGTGTGAACAAGAAATAAACATTTATTACTCTAAGCCTCTGAGACTTGGGAATTGTTGCTACCACAGCAAACCCTGAACTATCCAGATAGATACAGGCAGCGACTTCTCAATCTTCTCCAGTCTTCCTATTCCCTGGCCTTAGGGAGAAAGAAGCTACATGACCAGTCAAGCACCAGGAATTCAGCAGCACCTGCTATGTGCCCAGGCTATGCTAGACAGATGAGACACTAAGAAGCAGGGATATAAGGTCACCTGCACTGAAAGGACTTATTAGTTCCACTCTGAACCTGGCTTGTTTGGTATGTTAATCAAATTTAATTCCCTCAGAGAAGACAGTATTGTCTAAATAAAAATGAGAAAACCCTCACACTTTTGGGAAGGGGAGATAAGATGGCGACTTGAGGCTAGGAGTTCAACACCAGCCTGGGCAATAAAGTGAAACCCCATCTCTACATATTAAAAAAAAAGAAAGAAAGAAATGAAACCCAGCTCATATTGATACCTCAAGCAAGTTAGTCTATGACCTTTCTGGACCACAATTTCCTTATCTGTAAAATGGTCTGTTTGACATCATGGTTGTTTCAAAGATTAAATGAGTTAATACAAGTAAAGTTTCCAGGATAGTACTGGGTGTATGTCTCAATAAACAGTCTTAGTGAACTCACTACTGTATTAGTATCACTATGAAACCTTCTACATAATAGCTGTAAGCTTGTCCATAACTCTCATTTAATTTTAGCCAAGATTTCCCAGGACTGGCACAATGGCATTTCGTAGGCACTGATAAAATGAATTCTACCTCAGCTGAAGATAAACAAGTAAACAGATCAAATCCCTGAACACATGGTGGCCTAAGGGCCTCAGGAAATGGTTCTAGGACCCAGGGCTTTCCGGATCCCTGGCTTTCCAGCAAGCTGCAGGGCAGGGCCATTTCCCCTCCCACACAAGGCAAGAGTTTCATCCTTTCACTTCCCACATGGGAAGGGAGGTGCCCTCACTTGGCCTCCCAAAGTGCTAGGGTTACATGAGCCACTGCGCCCTGCCTGCGTCCCATTCTGAGGATTCCTAATGTTTAAGTGACAGGCCCTGGAAACCCAGGCCACCAGATAGATTTTCCCCTTCCTTCTCATTATGTTGATCCCAACTTCACTTGGAGACTTTCCTAATATATCCGTCTCCTCAGAGACTAGCACAGCTGCTCAGCTGATAAAGAAGAAACTTCCCTGGACAAACATTCTCCTCTCCATGTCCTTTCTTCCTGGAGGTAGCCACACACCTCCAGAAGCACCAATGGGCTTGGACTCCTGTCTGTCTGAATGATGCCACTGCGCTGAAATCAAGTTCAGATCAATAAACACTACTGAGCACCTATCCCATGTCCAGCCTGGGTTCTAAGACCACTTAGAGCTTACAGCTGGTCTGGAAGTTCTGCACCTTGGGAGAGTGCCTGGCACCCAGACTCTCAAGCATGCTTTGTTAAATAAACTGAATATCACGTCTGGTGGGCCAGGCAGTGGAGTTCACAGATGTGGGGGCAGATATATCAAGGAAGTCTCCAAGTGAAGCTGGTATGCAACACAATGAGAAGAAAGGGGAAAATCCATCTGGTGGCCTGGGTTTCCAGGGCCTGTCACTTAAACATTAGGAATCCTCAGAATGGGACACAGGCTAGGCGAAGTGGCTCATGTAATCCCAGTATTTTGGGAGGCGTAGGCAGGAGGACTGCTTGAGTCCAGGAGTTCAAGACCGGCCTGGACAACAGGCAAATCTCTACAAAAAATTATAAAAATTAGCCAAGCACATGCTTATAGATCCAGCTATGTGGGAAGCTGAGGCAAGGGGATCACTTAAGCCCAGGAGTTATGATCACACCACTGCACTCCTGCCTGGTTGACAGAGACCCCAACTCTTAAAAAAGGATGGGTGAGGGGGCGGTTGAAGAGCTAGAAGGGCATACAGGGCCATGATGGACAGGACCCAGGAGGATCCCTGGAAGGAAGGGTATCTCCACCAACCACTGGGCTAACTGAATCCAGTGGAGAGGACATGGAGTGCTCTGATGGCCTAGTCCCCAGGTTTCCCTTCACAAATAGAGAAGGGAAATTCAGAAGGCACTAACAGAAAGGGCAATGGGAAGGCTACTTTTGAGGATATGACAGGTAATCGACCCAACCCCCATCTCTGAGGGAGGAAGACACCCCCGCCCCCCAGGAAGTAGACCACTGCAAAGAGAACACTTGCAGAGACTCCAACACAATGTCCTGCACTAATGCCCAAGACGACTCGACCTCCCAGATTCCAGGGCACCCAAAACAGCCACGTAGCAAGTACACAGCGCCGCACTCACCACTGCTCAGCGGCCAGCGCCTGGCCAGTACCAGGGCCGACTTCTCCCCACCTCCCCAAGCATGGACCGCTTCTCGCCAGAGACCAACTTTAAGTCACCAAAACACGTGTTCCAGCGGTTCCAGGCCGAAGTCCCTCCACACACCCCCACACAAATACTTCCACCCCGCCGGCACCCCCGCCCCTGGGGCCGCGCGGAGGAGGAAGGGTAGAGAAGCAGCGGCCCGGGACGAGTCAACTCCGTAACCACACACCCAACTCGATCAAAGCAACGGCTAGGTCGGGGTCGAACTTTGCTCTCAAGCGCAACCCCACACGACCAACACGGAACGCTGGGTCACCATTTATTCAAACTCTGGCTGTCCAAACCTGCGCAGGGCAGAGCTGGACGCACGGTGCAGTGGGCGACCTGGAGCACCTCAGGGCCGCGCGAGGGAGGGGGCGGCCCCCTCCGACCCACGCCCACCCCTGACCCGCGCTCCGGGGGACGAGGGTTCGAGACAGAGCCGACGAGAGCGCCCATCCCCGAGCTCGCTGCTAGGGACAAGG